GTGATGTAGACACTTATTGGAAAATAAAGCCAGGAATGCGAAAGATTTAAAAATGGCGGCTTACAAACATCGCAGTGGATTCCGGCTTGAAAAAAAACAAGGCGTTTCAGCCTCTTCAGGAACAGTGCTCTCTGTGGCAGAGGACTCCCTTTGGCCTTTCTAACTCAACAGACCATTCACCTGCACCTAGATATATCACTTAGAAAAAAAAATAAAAGAACAATATATGCACTTTAATGAAATTTGATCTTTAACGAAAGATCCTCAATTGGCATCAATTATGTGTCAAACTCAATTTCCAAAAGCAAATTTAAAGTGAAAAGACAAATCTGACCTGGGCAAGCTCATTAATGCCTTTCATGCACTCCAGATCACATTGGCACAGTCACAAACAAACGGAAAGCAGTGTAAAACAGTAATAAACAAGTGCGCCATATATAACCCACCCAACTGCTTTATTATGAATGAGAGCAAAAAAAAAATGCAGATTCTATATGGAGGTTATCAGAGTAATTACTCTATTATAACATCAAATATGGAATTTGTATTCAGATGTACATGTTAGGAACTGTTTCTCAGAATCCCATAATTCCTTCAATTCATCTCTACACTTGTAATGACATATGACATATGAAAACAACAGCAAGAAAGAACACCCAGTGTCACAAACGCATTCTTCTCAAACTGACAACTCCCAGCACTTTTATTTCCTCTCTGTCTTTTCTTCACTGGTGGGTTTTTCTGAAGTTCTTCAGTGTAACCTTGACTTCCACTGTATTTACCAGAACATCATAGTCAGTTCTCTAATGTTCCACTATCATTCTGATAATTAGTGTTTCTGTGTGACGTAAAGCTGTGTATGTATATATATATACACATACCATCATTTATAGGTCATTCAGCAGCTCTTATTTGATTGCATTGCATTCAAATGTGTTTCTATTGTTTTGGCCACAGCTTCTTATACTGCTAGTCACAAAAGAAGATGATCTCATGTACAAATGAAGTTGGTTAAATATCTTTAAACAAATGCATTCTTACTAAAAAGTACAAGTACACACTGTAAAGTAGGTAATAATGGCGTCAAGTTGGCCGGTACACCATAGGCTGATACAATTTATACAACTGGATGCAGCATGAAGCAAATCTACTACGTTCCATTGCCTGAGAATGGAGGTCTGTGGAAAATTCCAAGATCGGGTATGTTCTCAATTAAGGCGGTCTGCTCCACCATGCAATCCAAAACCCTCCCCCACAGTGACTCTGCACATTTTTCCCTGCGGTGTGCCAGTGTGTTATGTTTATTAAATAAAATGTAAATTCATCTTCAATGTCCAAATTTCCTGATTTTCTTAGAATCTCTTCATCTCTAACCATGAGCATGAGGTAGACTGAGAGGAGTTGTAACCTGTCTGTAACACGTCATTTTGATCAATCAGAGAAGAGCTATGGTGATGTCGTCAATGTTGTACAAAGACTGTGTATAAATGATTTTATATAATATATCCCTCTGAGCTTACAGGAGAAATGGCATGCTTCTGTGAGCAAGATTGTATAAGTACATGTAAGTGAACATATATGTGTAAGTGTATATGTGTGTGTGTGCGTGTGTGTGTGTGTGTGTGTGTGTGTGCATGCATTTATTGAATATGTCTATGCAAATTAGTAACCTTCACCACAGGGGCAGCCATCTATATTCACACACACACACACACGTTTGTACTTCTGTCTTAGTGAGGACACTAACTGACATTAGCTCACATATTCTGTGACTGTGTAGTAAAGAGCGGTAGAGTTGGACAAATCTAGCATGAACAACCACTCACACAACAAGTGTTACTATCATCCCCTGTCTCTGCTACACCCTGTTAAATCACATTCTGTATTCAGTCAGGATGAATTTTAAATGAATTAATTGAGGCCCGGACTAAATTGAGCATGAGGAGGAGTGCACATGTCATCTCTCTTTGAAGCAGTCATGAGGGAGCTACACTTTCCTAACTCGAGGTCTGGAAAAAAGACAAACACCCAGTAGACAAACAAACCACAGTCTGTTTAATCCCAGCAGGGACTTTCTGGGCGATGCTCCTTCAACTAGTTGTTGGTACAGCTTCGGTATCCGGGTCCATTGATGACGTCACTGGAGAAGCTTCTTACGTAACATCCACCGCAGCTTTGTTGTGACAGCTTCCAGCTAACATAAACAAAGACACAGAGTCATGAATAATTGAATGTACTGATAAAATCAGAAATAATACTTTAAAATTTGATATTCAGATGCCATTTTCAGTTTCACCAAGCCACCTTTGTTTTTGTTGTAATCTGTCAACTCTTAAAGGTTCAGTGGGTAGAATTTATTGGCATCTAATAGTGAAATTGAAAACAACTCAGTACCCCTCTCCTCAACTTCCACTTCCAAGCCTGGTAAAGCCCTCAGGTATCATCACCACTTTCTAGAGCCAGTGTTTGGATTTCCTGCTGTGGGAGTCCATGGTAAGGGCCGCTCTCAAGGTAAATATAAAGACTCATTACATAACATAACATGAAACACAAAAGTTCTTATTTTCTGGTGATTATACACAAATGAAACCATGATTATGAATGTTATCAATTTGTACCAAATCCAGACCTATATAAAAGTCTAAATAAACTTTTATATAACATATAAGTTGAATTGTGGGAAATGGTAAGAGGAGAAACTCCACAGAAGCTAAAACTTGATATGTGTTGATGAACAATTTATACCTTAGCATAAAACAGAGCTTTGTAAAGGTGATGTGTTGAGTTTCCAGTTACAGTTTTCTCTCCTGGGAAAATGGACTGAGTGCAGACGAGCACTGTGCATTTAATTATGGGATTAGAGTCTCACGAGAACCTTTTCATTACTTAATAGATGCAGGCTGCTCAAACCCTGTCTGTCTGCACAGTGTGAAGGAGTGACAGAAGGGTTTTGTCCGATTAGAGACTCACATATCAGGAAAAATTCAGGATGGAAGAAAGTTCACAAGTACACTGATGAAGATGTGGCCTGTTCTTGAGAGTAAAAGTAATTGAAATCTTCTTGTTTGATTATAGCGCCAGTACATGGTAAACTGTCTAGTAATGCCATCCTAATTTTGAATGGTTCCTAAACTGAACTGAACTACAACTTGTTTTTCTCAGAAGAGAGAGCTGCACATGGTGTCCTGTCCTCAAAGCCAAACAGTTACACAAAATCAAAGCCACCCCCCCACTTGAATGGCTTCAATCCCATTGGACACGTAAAAAAAAAGAAAAGAAAATACAGAGTAAATGAAACCAACACCAACTTCCGCGAATCGAGAAACTAACTGATCGGAAACAGTTTTTACTTTTCCAAAAGTTAAATTAGAAACATTCCGTAAAACACTGAGCAGAACAGTAAACAATCACATCCATTCAAAGAGTCTGTTTTTTTCAATGGAGCTGGTAGTTTTCCACAGTCTGTGGTAAATGTTCATACAAAAATGATTTAGTGCACAGTGACATCTGGAGGCCTTCACAGGAAAATACTCCTTTAGGGAACAAGAAATAGGAATGGAGTTCCCTGGAATGAAAACAGACTGAAACATGAAAGTGACAGCTCAAGTAACTTTAGTTCTGTCATTTGTTTTAATTGGCTAAAATATGTAAACAAAAATTCTTATTATACTTTTCATCATTCAGTTATTCTCTCGTATTTCATGATATTTCCTTTGTTGTGATGTTTGAAGTAAAAATATTTGCCCACATGTTTGTAAGTTATTCAATGTTCAAGTTGTTTTTTTAAATCAATTTGAGCTGAACCTTCTGCTGTACCAAAATTGCAACACGTTTTTTCTTTAGTAAACTTTACATTTACAAATAATTCGACATTATACAGACACAATCAATTATTAATACATTAAAGAAAGTGATTTAAATGATGATAAATATTTTAAACGATAAGAAATAAACAATAAAAATCAAATAAAGGAAACCTATCACACAAGGGCAAATACAGATCAATTTCCTTTATCTAATTTGATGGGAAACTTTTTTAATAATTTGATATTAATGATCTATTCTGCTTTTGTTCCTCCTAATTTGAAATGCAGGATTAGGTTCAGTCTGTAAGATTTAGGTGAAAGGGATCTACTGGCAGAAATCTAATGTAGAATAATCCTCATGATGTTTTCACTAGCTCATTTCATCTAAATTGTATGAATTGTAGTTTTCTTTAATCCAGAAAAGACCCTTTATATTTAAATAATTTATATTTACATTGAGGGGACCCTCTCTACGGAGGCTGCCATGTTTTTTACATTAGTCCAGACTGGACAAACTAAACACCTTTTGAGTTTTTATGACAACTGAAGTCTACCACAGGTTCTTTTTCATGTTTCATGACGGTGAGGTGAGGGGTGTTCAGCTGCAACATGCAATTTCAACACTAGATATCACAAACTTCTACACACTGTACCTTTAAGAGTTAATGCAAGATTTCAAGTACAATTTAAGAGTTTAACATTTTTGTTTTTTCTTATAACTATTTATGAATGTCAGGCCAGAATGATTGTGAGTCAACTGTGCAGATTTTCTCAAGAGTGTGAACATGAGCGTGTTCATTATAGACTAAAGAAGGCTATTCAGTTGTATAAACAGATGGTTTTAAAAGACTACAAATTATATAAGCGCAAAGTTTTTGAGTTCAACAGTATCAAACCTCACAAAGTTAGAGTAAATATCCTCAGACACTCTGACACTGTCTGAGTAACTCACTCAACCAGCTCAACACAAACAGGTGGTAAACTGAGCCAGCGGAGGGTAAGCTGAGCGACCAGCCGCGAAGAAATCACTGCTGCTGACTAGCACGATAGATGCTGACCCTCAGAAACGGCTGCTGCCAAACCCCGCCCATTAACACCACTGCACATCTCCCACACAGTTACACTAGACCCTGGCATTAGTATATCTCTGGCATCTCCTGGACTCGGCTTGCTTGTGAGGAGACCACAGGGTAAGAAGCTCTATAAAAATGTTTTCAGCCATTCAGTTAGTTAAGTTAAAAAAAAACTATTCATGAAGTTGTTTCAGTTTGTTCTAATTATATGGAAATATAAGCAATAACTCTGGAGACTAAGAGTCAAGGTGTCAAGTGAATGCAAGGTCGTGTGGAGGATGTAGTGCTTTGCAAGGTCTGTGTGGTACCATTGATACAATTATTTTATGTGAGTAAATCCTAGTTATATCTAGCCTACTTGAATTATACACTAGTAAGATTCATGTATTCTAATTTTTAGGTCGAATTAAAGGAAGAATTGTGTCAGGAAATCACTGTACAGCTGGAAACACATGCAGATGATTTCATGCCCCACTTTAAAAGTGACCATGACTGAAAACACGTCTACCAGGATGGACGTTGAAAGGGGAAATGAAAGGACATATCATAAAACACATGGTGGCATACATTTTCTCCGAGATGGACAGATTGTCAGTAACACTCATAACATGAAGAGTGACACTTCACTTGGAGGTATGTGTACAAATGTGAACTCAGAGAGCACTGACACTGGGATCCTGTACCTGAACCCTCAGACACCAAATTGGTCACCTGCTGAGAAGTTTGCTGACCTTTCTTCAGGAAATAAAACTGGAATCTGTGACGACCGAGACCACAGCACTGAAGCATTATCACAGTGCACTAAATATCTCGGCAACAATAAAATAAATGGGTGTGGTGACGTGCATTTGGATGCTATGCAAAACAATTGCTCGAGATACCTCAAGAGCCACCAAGTGCAAAGGGACGCCTCAGTCAATCGAAGAGCATCCAAGCTTAAAGAGCTGAATGTTGAGGAATATTCCCCAGGTGGAGGAGGGAATAAGACCAAAAAGAAGAATATGAATAGTCCCTCTCTTAAGAAATTACTTAAAAAGCATGACAACGACAAGATCCCTCGACTTTTGGTAGCTATGAAAAAACGTGGTGAAGTCGACGCAGAGCACCGTCCCTTCAAGTGTCCACACTGCCACTGGGCCTTTAAGAAGCTATGCAACCTGCAGAGCCACCTACAAACACACTCTGGCCTCAAGCCGCATGTGTGCGATATATGCGGCAAGGCTTACTCCCATCAGGGCACGCTGCAGCAGCACAAGCGTCTGCACACGGGTGAAAGACCATATCACTGCCCCTTCTGTGTCAAGACCTACATTTGGTCCTCAGATTACCGTAAGCATATCCGCACACACACCGGTGAGAAGCCCTACATCTGTGACACTTGTGGCAAGGATTTCATTCGCTCCTCTGACCTGCGCAAGCACGAGCGGAACATGCACACCAACAACAAGCCCTTCCCCTGCACACACTGTGACAAGACCTTCAATAAACCTCTCTCCCTGAAGCGTCATGAGCGCAAGCACCTGGGCGAAAGGCCTTTCTCCTGCCCTGACTGCGGGAAGGCCTTCGCCCTGCCCAGCCGCATGGCCGAGCACCGCAAGGCACACGAAGGAGTGCGTCCGTTTGTGTGCTCAGTTTGCTCCAAGTGCTTCACAAAGTCCTCCAATCTGACCGAGCACAAGGCCATCCACAGTGGTGCGCGGCCCTATAAATGCACAGAGTGCGGTTTGGCGTTTGCCATGGCCTCCCGCCTCGTTCGTCACCAGTACGTGCACAATAAAGAGAAACCCCTCAGCTGCACGGGCTGCAGCAAGAACTTCTGCCACCTTGAGACACTGAAGCTTCACCAGGAGCAAACGTGTGCTGGGAGAATCTTTGTCTGTGTGGACTGTGACAAATCTTTCCAGTGTGCTGCAAAGCTCGCGCAGCATATGCTGAGCCACAGGGACAAGAGTGTGTGAGTCTGTTTAAAGAAAGGTACATCCATCACCATGCTGGTACTTATGACACAATTTAGAACTACAACATTTAATTGATTTCAAATATTCAGTTCCAGACACATTACAAGTCATAGGACACCACTTTATTCATGTCAAGGTATTTATTAATAATAATTGTGCTGTAATGACTTTTAAAACTTAATACTCATGTACCCTCTTTCCCCACGGTGCTGGGTTACCATGAGTATGGTGAGAGATAAAAATTAGCTCTGCATCGACACTGGAGCTGACAGCTGTGTGATGTTAAAGTGCTTACAAGAGCATTAGATGGTTTTTAAAGTGATAATATTCTCTCAGGTTACAGTTTATCAGGAACACCTAGTTAGAAGGTATGCAGAGAAATCCTATATTTGTTGTATAGAAAGTATTGTTGTATATAGTATAGAAAGCACAAAGTGTTTGTTGTCATCATTGTCATGCTGGAGATTTTAAGTTTGTTATGGTTTTCTAAGTAAGTAATCTTTTTGTTTTGTTTGGTTTGTTAAAGACGTAGCAATTTAAGGATTTACTGTGCAATCAAATAATGTCAGTGGAACTTTACCCCGAAACTGAATTGGATATTATCCCAAAATCTGTTTCTAAAGGCACTTACACTCAACAAAAATACAATAACATCTGGCTTTTGTATTCAATGTGTAAAATTGGCTTTCATTCCATCCACTGCAGATCAAATCACACTGCAGTAGTCAGTCTGAGCTTGAATCTGTGTGACTTTTACATGTCCCAAACAGTTAACCTGTCACTTCCCCACCACGTTAAATGGATGGACGACATGACAGTGTGGTGTCTGAAATGCTATGTGTAGTCTTCCCCATAAAAGAAATGTATCTTTGGGTTTGAGGCCCACAGGTCCTAAGGAATTTGGAGAAAGCCTGAATATATGTTAGGGCATTAGGTCACAGTTTTAAGGGTTACCCTAAATTTGAGCTAGTGCGTTCTCTCCCTGTCACCAGACAGATGAGAAGAGCTGAATAAAAGCCAGATGTGTTTTCTTTAGATTCATGAAAACTACCCTCCTATATAAACGAGGAGTTGAAGTTGCCCCCTTAGAGGAGGCAGGAGAGATTCACATTGACTTCGGATCTCTCCATAGGCAGATTGCATTACTTGTATTGATGCTGAACTTTTTTGTCATAAACATTTTATACCATCAAGACGGTGTCATCGGAGATTCCTTCATCATCTTCACATCATCGCAACCCCAATATACGACAACAGCTTCCCAAAAGGAAAGCCAAAGCATCTCAATCACCCCCTATTGACTGGCTGCAGTCTAGGTTATAAACCCCACTTGCCATTTTGATTTGCACTTCAGGGCTGCAGCCTGAAGTACAAACTGAACATTTTACAAAATGTAAGTCTTGACAAGTAATTATTTACAAAATAAGACATGGTCTGTATCTCTTTAACTCTTTGGGGGGATGTTTGGGATGCCACTTGACGCAGTCTTTCATAAAGCTTTCTATTCTGAATGTGTTTATACTCTGAAATGCTACTAGCAGGCAGTAAGTGGTCACTTAAACCGCAGAGGCCTGTGTACTGGACACTCAGCCAGTGTGTCCCACTCAAACTTGGCTACTGCAAGTTAATCGTAAAAGGAGACAGCATCTACCATGTTGTCACTTGCTCTAGATTAAGTTAAAGGTCCTATCTGGATTCCCAGCTATTTCATTGCAAGCCACATTTATTCAATATGTGACTTTTAATTAGTTGTTCCCAGAGTGGTGTGTCAACAAAAAGAAAAAGACAGAACTACACAGATATACTTGTAATTGAGACAGTGCATGTGCTGGTACAGATATAAAAAAAGCCTTCAGGTATAATACATAAGGCACAAAGTCATATGACGGAGGTAAAAAAAACCATCTCAATTACATCAGAACATGTTTACAAGCTGACAGGGTAATAAAAAATTGTTATAAAATTATATATTACTGCTGTATGTGTTATATATACATTTTAAAGAGCCTCCACTAAATTTGTCCCCACACATTAATATAACAGGGCTGTTACTAAGGCCTCTTCTCAAATGAAGGCACAGCATTTATCATTAGACGATCAGTGGTCTTGCCTTGGTCCCCCCCTCCCCCCTCAACCATGTGGTATCATCCAACTTGGCAGCATGATATCATCCTCTTACAAAGTTTAAAGATCTTTTGTACATTAATAAAACTAAATATTGCTCACATTGTGCAATAATTTACTTCTGTGCAGCCAATAAATGACCACATGCAGCATGACATTACATTTATCCTATTTATGCCTTAATGTTTTGCACTGGTTAACTGTGTTTAATATTTTATCATAAAAAAGACAAGATGGCTCATGAGTATTCTCTTTAAGCATTAACAGTGTTATGGACAGTCATTTCAGGGAGATGTGAGCTGTGAGAGTCTGGTGACACTGATACTCAGTGAGCAGTTACATACATACCACCACATTAAAGCATCCTTCAGTGCAGCCTTATACATACACAGTTACTAAGGTCAATTAAGGTATCCCTTTCACCAAGCATGTCCTGCAATCATTGGTGATTTCCCCAGTGTCAGCTTTTGGGAAGGCCGTCTCAGCTGCTTCAGTCGCTGAAATATGAGTTGCTGTGCCAGTACATTCAGAGTATTTCTGTATCTAACATGCAACATGATGGTGAGCAAGCTGCATGTGGGGGTTTGAAAGGACATCCTTAAAAAGAAATGTGTAATGAGTGGACTGGATCTTGTAGCTGTTCGTCTGAGCTCAGGTAATTTTCTCTTATTAGACTTAGATGAGGTGTGAGATCCTCACATTGCAGTCACCGCTCCTGCAAAAACATGAAAGATTAAAGGAATTTGATGTATATATTTAAAAACATCTTCATTAAAGCTGCTTTCAGACATGCACTGAGCTCTGCACCATATCTGGACAGTCTGCAGAGGGGTTGTATGCGAGAACGCAAATGTCAAAGTGAGAGGCTCCTGACGTTGTTGGGATGCTCTTCCTGCCAGCCCCCTTGTAAAAACTCTGGACAATGTGTGAATGAGTCAATTTGAGTGAGCACACAGCAGGAGATCCTGCTGCGTTATCACCACGAGCGCGTGGGCGTATTGATGACCTTTTCAACAAACAACATAGAGTTCTTGGTGATGAGGGCCAATGCCGGTGTCACCTGAACGCTCCAGAGATTTCTGGTGTTCTGTGTTGTTGACGTCTGAGTGGAGAGTCTCCTGCTGTGTTGTTCACGTCTGAAAACGGCTTATAATACATATGGGTTTATCTTAATGAAACTTAAATTTACCTGAGATGTAGAAGAGTGGTCTTCACATGGTTCCTAGCGCAGCTGTTGACCTGTTGTGTCAAACTTATTTATAAAAAAATGTAATTAAATTTCATTTTTTAATGTAAATAAAATGTTTTGGCAGCCAAACCTCTACAACCTTTTCAATTTCAATCCTAAAAATATGCACTGTACACACTGGTCAGCAAATGTGTTAATGGCAGTGACAGAGGCGGGACACAGCTTCAGGTCAGTGACCTCAGAAATCCCACATAAGAGAAGAATGTGGAGCTTGGCATTTTTTATTCATGGCATGCATAGTTGATTTTTTTTTAAGGTGATAATTGACATAGTTCACATAACTCACCTGCTTTCCTTGAAAAGGGATTCACTGCAGCGGAAGAGGGCTGGGATGGAATCGTGTTAAAAGAGGCCATTGCAGGTGGTGGAGGACGCCAGACCCCAGTGGTGGGTGGTAGCTCCTAAGAAAATGTAAAAAAACAAAACAAATCTTACATCACTGAATTTAAAGCTTGATTGTAACTGAAAGGTATAATGTACATCTCCTTGAATCTCACAGTCTGAGCTGTGCTCCTCTGCTCGGAACTCTCCTTTTGGACATCTTTTGGTTTTGATTTGAACCAGCCACTGAACCAACCCACCTTGGCACCCTGCATATAAAACAAAGAGGAAATGACTGATGTCAGAGGACTCTAGTATGGTTTGACAGATTGTGTCAGTATGCTGAGGGATCCACGCACCTGTTCCGGGGGCTCATTCGTCTGCTCAGAGGGCTTGAAATGCTCTGGCGTGCTCTGCTGGTTATGTTCCTGGTGACTGATGTCAGCCTCCAGCCTCTAAAAAAGGCAAATACAGGTATTCAGGTAACTTTCGGGAAACATTTCACAATGTTCTACACAAACACAGCATTGAGGTTATTAGTGAAAATTACATTTTTGCAACATAAATAAATCCAGAGAAATATGCGACATCCTTTATTTTTACTCACCATGTCTGTTCCAGAGAATGACCAAGCCCCTGTAGGAGCAGTGACATAAATATATCACACGAGCTGACTCCCTCACATTCCACAGTAAATCTCTTTATAGAAAAAGGAATGAATGGATTCTAGATTCTCACCCTCTCCTGCTGAAGACACTTCACTCGGTGGACAATGTGTCGAGGCACTCCTGACTTCAGCACTATCTGTGTTATGATAACTGAAGTCTTGGCACTGGGCCGCTGTGGACAGTGGGGGGGCATAAACCACGGTGACTGGAAGCGGAGGACTGGCACCTGGCCTAGACAGAGCAAAAGAGAGGATGGTGACATAACAGTGACTTTTGGGACAGGGTATCACATGATTAGTAACAGTTTTGCTGAATGTTTTGTACCAGTGCTGAGCTCCTGTGATGTTTGATGAAAGCATTTCCTCAGTGTTTCCTTCAATATGATTCTGGAGGCTTTCTTGATCCTCACTGCCTAAAGCATAAAGGAGTTCAGGCTCAGGACTCTGGATGTCACGGCTTAGGTCGTCCAATCCTGAGAAAGAAAGACAGAATCATAAGTATGCTTCATTAGCAGATGAACAAGAAATACTACACTGTTCACTGTTCCAAACAGGCCACACAGAAGATCATTCAAGGTAATGAGGGGACTTGGAATTACCTGAGTACACTTTGCTGTCCTCATGGGCCAAAGCACATACCTCAGGTTCTGGCTGGTATGTTTCAGTGCAGTCGTAACTCTGAAGCAAAATACAAGTTTGTACAGTAGTTTTAGTGTCCGAGCAGGTGAAGCTGTACTTACCCACAGCGGTCCAAGTTAACTGCTAACATCAGCATGCTAACATACCGACAATAGCAACAATACCATACAGATGTTTGACAGCTGTATGCAATGTTAGGATTGCTAGATAGCAATGAATACAAAATCAGTTGAACTTGGTGGGAATGGCGTTTGATTTAGAAGTATTTGATCATAACCCAAACCATTGGACAAATGAATAATCAATGTAAAGTAAAGAAATCCCTAAAATGACTCATAAATCATCCTGTGGAGGGATGTCTGTGCCGAATTTAAGGGCATGTCATCCAATATTTGTTGAGACGTGCCAAGCAAAACCAGAAATATCTGTCTTAGTTGCTTACAGAAAAGTGGGTCATGTAAGTCTGAGTCTGTGTGTTCATGAAAGTAGTGTTATGAAATACTAAAAGGAAAACCAGGACACCTGCACAGACTCTGCTCTGTACACAGCATCTATGTACAGTGGATTTAAAAGCATGAGCAGAAATCTCAGTTGTGGCTGACTAATTTTTTCCAACACTTGCAAAAACCACACCATGAACATTTAGACACAGATCTATGTGCTGAATGGGTACCAGATGATACTGGTCCAATTGAAACTCTGATGTGGGGGAATAAAGCAGCTTTAAAATCATCCCTCACTTCTGCTCCTGGGAGAAAAAAGGTTGTGATCAATTTTTTAACTGAATTACTGATAAGCTAAAACCTATATGTATATTTCTCATTTTTATAATTGATACACAGATAGAGGCAAACATTAAAGCTGCTTTTAGACATGCACTGAACTCCGGAGATCTCCGGAGTGGTGTGTGTCCACGTAAATTGATGTAAGCGAGTAAGGGGGCTGATGACATTTATAATACGTGACAGGCGTCATATCTCAGCATGAAAGGGTGAAGCCAAACACATGGAAGACACTGACGAAGATCTCAAGATAGACTGTGTCGATGTCGACAAATCATGTGATCTCCACAGCAGAATGGAAATGTTACGTCCTGCCTCCGCTGCTGCACCACCCCCTCACCTGAATCCTGTGGGGGGCAGCAAACCTCCCACTGTGCTGTTCAAAAAGGAAAACCGAAGAGAAAATCCAGACTCAATGCTCCGGAGATTCCTATGCAGGACAGGTTTGAAAACCGCACATGTGAAATGAAAGGAACAGAGATAGCGAATCACCTGTAAGCTGTGGTGTCTAGCACGCAGCTGTCTCAGCCAATCAGGTTCCTGTCCGGTTGCACTAGCACCTCCCTCACTGAACTGACCCTCGGTGTGTCTCAGTCTGTCTGCTAGCTGCAGGCGAAAACATACTTCCATGTATACGTTGAGACATAGAAACTGAATCAAATGCGTACCACAGTGAGTATATACAGTATACCTTAATAACCTCTCCAGTCAGCACAAAGAACGGCTCCCTCTGTCTGAGGATTGCTTGGCCAACCACCTCACAGTAATGGAAGGCCTGGGAGGCAAGTCCACAATCCAGCAGTCGACTTGCATAGAGGAATTTATACACCTGACCACAACACATTCAGCATCACGTACACTTTATCGCATTGACCAGTAAATTGTTAATAGAAGGCAGTAAGTGAGATCTGATGTGAGAGGGTGGAGGGTACCTGAAAGGATGGTATTGAAAAACATTTTTCCCCAAGTGTCTGGCAGTATTCATACAACTCGGTGCACTGGATGGCAGAGTTTGTGGCAAAGTATTCGAAAGGTTGCCTGAAGAAAGAGGAGAGGAGAGGAGGAGAAGAGAGGAGGAGAGGGGAGGGGAGGAGAGGAGAGGAGAAGAGAGGAGGAGAGGAGAGGAGAGGATTAAGTGGCTGCTCTCAATCCTATCTCAACATTTCACTTTTGACTTCATGGACACTGATATAGCATCAAAGGACCAGAGCAGCTCACCTGTGGCTGCTGCCCAGAAGCACCAGTCTCTCTGCCTTCTGTGTGAACACACCAAAGGGAACCCCGGCTGTCAGGTAGCACACTTGGGCAGCGTGTAGGAGGCGTCTGGACGCTGTACGCCGAAAGAGATTCACAAGACAATCAGCTCTTATGTCTGGACGAGAAACAGCATTACCAACGTGTCAGTCAGTGCTACTCTGTACCGAGTGTGTCTCCCGTGGTGATGATGGCCTTCCGCTGGATGGCAGGATCTCCCGTCTCATTGGAAAGCATGACGGCCAGATGCGGCCTCCAGTCTCCTAGTTTTTCATTTCCACAGCACTGGGCACAGAGACTCCATATCAAAACTTTTATTGGCTAACAAGGTATGTAACAGTTTAATACATCGACTTAAACATGACATGATTGGCTTGTGTGAGCGTTTAAGTGATGTTTTTACCGTGGCAACAGCCGGGATTCTCCCAGACAGCAGCTGGAAGAGAGTCTGGAGGGGATCACTGGCCGTTAGTTGGCCTGTAAACCTGCCAACGGAGCAGACAAGGCTTTATTACACAGGCAGCAGAGCCACTGCACTAAAACGACACATCACATTTAAAGGCCATCCATACTGCCACTCTGTACAGAAGTAATGCACCATCCTTACAGCTCAAATTCAGCCCCTCATGTCAATCACAAATCAAATCACAGCCCAACCCCCCCACACATTCCTCTACTGACACCCTGACGCAAGCTGCTCTGGGACATGTTGCTGATACCAAAATAGTCTGGTACATGAAAAACAGATCATATGAACTGCAATTTAGTGCATTCTCCTTATTAAAGACAGAGCCCTCAATCAGCAGAAGCCTTTGAAAATAAATGATTACTCTGACTGTGGTGAGCAGATATTAAAAGACTTTAATTCCTACTAAATATGTCCAGCCAGATGATTTACAGTCTGAAGGAAAGTGTTAATGGTCTCTGTTATGTGCTGTCACACGAGTACGTACTGCAGATTATAAATAACTCTGACGGGAACATAAACTTTTAAGAATAAGGTGCAAGTGGATTCACAAATGGATTACCACTGATAAATCAATAATAAAACACATCCTTAGGTACACTCATTTCAAAATTGCAAAGCAGCTCCTAAACACTGATTGACAAACAGTGATTGAGAGTAATTACCTTCCTCAAAGTCTAAATGAGGAACTTTATTTTTGGACCCTGTGGGAAAGCGATGAGACCTGTTGCTCAGGGTAGAGGTCCTGTCAAGTTCTTTGCCCTGTGCTACACATGTCACAGGTATAACAATGTGTGAGATACAGTCCTGACTGCAGCCAGACACTGTGAGTGTGCAATCAGCTCATCATTATTCTTGATTAAAAACATTTTTTTAATCTGTTGATTGCACAACTATTAACAGAAGGCGCAATCACTTCAAAGAACGATTTTAAAAATCTCCAATATATTTTGGAAGAATGCATAATTGTTAAATTTCCACTAATGAATAAAACTGAGTAGAGAGCCATGCTAGCAGCTCCGTGAGGCTGAAGCTCTGAGCCAAATGCTAACAGCAGCATGATACGCTGGCAGTGAAGGTATTAACATGCTGATGCTAAGCAGGTTTACCAAGTGCACTGTTTTAGTTTAACTTAACTAGAGGCCACTATATGTGCAATTAAGGCTGATGTGAATGTTATCATATCTTCGAGGTCATCACAAAATAACTGTGAAGTGATTGAACCTATAGCAGGAGAATTCCACTTCAAAGCATTATCTGTTCAGAATCCAGTAGATTTAGAGAACATTCACAGGATAAATAAACAGATCACCTGCTGGTGGCACTAAAGGAAAGGTCACGATCACTAGGAGACTAATTTAGGACACTAAATCATCCTCTCAGGACCATTAACTTCTTCACTGACTCTAAAGACAATCTATGCAACTGTTGTTCAGTCTCCAAACACAGCTCTGACTGTTACACTGCCCATATTTGCTCGTAGCTGTAGCACAAGTTTGAAGTAGAAATCTAAGTAATCTAAGAAGGAACATTTCTTCACAAATTACCACCTGCGTGTGGAGCTGTGTGCTGATTTATTGCAGCTGTCGTGTCTCAGATGACTATGCTTCTCTCACCTGTTCAGCACGCTGGTGTAGGACCTGTTGTCCATTTTACTGGCCAGAAAAAGTGCATGCCCCCACAGGCCAGTGCTCATAGCTGACTCCAAGGCCTCCTGGGAACAACATGGGTAAGAGTGAGGGGATAAACACTCAGTATGACACACAGTGGTCACTCTTATCAGATTGTGCTGTACCAGTGATGGCCTTTCAAATGTTGACCATATCAGTTTTATTGCTGACACCACTCATTCCTCATTTTTATAGCCTTTGTACAGGAATTTCAATTGGACAGTGAGTAACAGCTGGATAAATGTTATCTGGTCATAAGTATAGGCATATGTATTAGGATTGAAACAGTTTATGTTCTGCCATTAGGAGGAGCACTGAGATGATAAGAAGAACCTACAGAGGACATCAGATGATTAGAGATAGTGTCAGACACCTTTTTTCTTCCAGCCAGCAGCAGCTGAGTGTAGCTGTGCAGTGCCTTCTCCGAGGTCTCAGAGCTGAAGTTGCTCCAGGCTCCCGTGAGCAGGTCGTCTCCTGTTTGAGGTGGGGCTTCTGCAGCCATGCCCTCACTGAAGTCAATGAGCGTGGGGGATTCTAGCTCCCAGCTTCCATCTGAACGTGAGCCCTCCATCAGCAGCTCGGCAATATCTGATCCAACGATTTGCTGAGTCCGCAAAAACATTTGGTGATTTAGTTTTTTCACAAAGAAATAAAACACGTCTCTAAGATTAGAGTTAAAGAGGTTAAAGTTAGTTACAAATCATGATGCCCTTACTCCATTCTGTCTGCAGAGCAGTATCAGCAGATTCCACAGGAGGGCGGCAGAGCTCTTGTCCTGCAGCTTTTCGTCCCTCATGCAGGCTCCTGCCTCCTGCTGGGCAAACTCCATAGCATCTACTTTGTGCAAATCTTCCCTGTAGAAACATGACAAACTATCAAACTCATTCAATATTGAATTTAAAATGTGAACTTTGTAAGGTTTACAAGTCTGTTTCAGGTTTGTCAGTCAGCGTAATATGGAAGAGAAGATGCCATCAATTGTTTTGTTAGGATTATTAAGTAGTGAGCATTTTCAGAATTACACCTCAAATTAAAAAGGAACTACCTAGTTAAGGGACCAGGGAAGTTTCTCAGCTCCTGCTGTTCCTGTGTCTCCGTCAAAATAACCTGTGTACACATAAAGAAAAAAATGTCCACCTTTAGTATTATTCAAGAAAACAGTACTTATGTGTGTTTGAAAAGACTCATGTTGAACATACTTCCAGGCTGTGGATTTCCAGCTGACTAACGTTCTTCTGTGTGGAAAAGCCTGGAGTGACCCGAATCAGCTGCCCTGCAGGTCCGAAGCTGACCACAGCGTGAGGGACTGAGTACTTCAGAGGAGCAGACGTCTGATGTACCGGTCCATGGTCTGAGGAGAGACATGATACATAACAGGACATGTGACATGACGAATAAAGGAAACTGAGAGAAAACACCTTTAACTCCACACTCACCTGCATCAGAGGTGTGAACAGTCGGTGGCACAGAGTCATTGTGTTCACTTCCATTAATGTACTGACTAAGTTCATAGCAGCTGGAAGACAACCCTGAGGTTTTAGAACTTTCTAATGTCCCCAGGTGATAAGAGGAAACTTCTTCATTGTCCCTGGAAGGAGTTTCTTCATAGTCACTGGGGTGATGCTGGGAGTTGTCTCTCAAGTGGTCATACCTGAAGGAAATATATATGGTATGTTCAGTGTTCATGTATCTGCACGTTCATTTGTGTACTTTCTATTACTGCAAGGCACAGAGATTTTGACTATATCACAGGGGCCCTCTGACCTCTTGGGAACCTGAGCCAAACTTCTGTTTGAAATGAGTCTTAACGTTCTATGTCAGGAGGCCACTTAAACAACTGTAAAGTGACTCAAAGTGCAACGATGTCCATGTTTACTTGTACATGGAGGCACACGTGGAAACACATTGGAATGCCAGGCGTTAACTGATGTACTTAAAGCTGTAGCCAAATATGCTTGTTCATGCCAGTTGTGAACAGGGTCAGAAACACAGAAATTACAAAGAGACACTAAAAACAACCGCAGAGACATAAAAAGAAGCGGTGCGACCAAAAAGACATCTGTCTGAATCAGTGGGTGGGGGACTTTTAACATGTCAGCACCCAGGGGCCCATTTTTTAATAATCCTTTCATGGTTGCAGCAAGCAGCAACAAGCAGACGACTTAGGTCATCATCATCGTCATCATGAGCAGCAGAAGCAAGGACAGTCTGATCCAACACAAAGACTCCTCACAGAAAGCTGAGGGTATGTCATGTATATCTTTCTTCAGGTTTAATTCCACTGGACACGTTTTCACCTTTTCTCCATTGGATGAACCTTCCAGACTTTACTCAGTATCAGTCTGAGCTCATTCTACCAGATCCAGCTGCTGCACATCAGTGCTGTCTGACTAATAACTGGCTCCAAGAAAACATAACCTTCATTCAAATCAATTTAAACAGGCTTCCTGTTCCTGATTCCCATTTACTTTCTGTGTGTAAGTGTCCAACATTACAAGTTATTCCTATGGTGATTACCGTGCCTGTGCCTCTGTAGTTTAAGCCCCAAGTCCTTTGAATTGTATTCATTTATCTGAGAGCCTCTCCTGATTTTACCTGAATTTTAATTCTAATTACAAACAATCTAACAAACAATGTTTGACAGTAAGAAAGATAATTGTTAAATAATAACTGCAACTATTTCTGGTTAATATTTATATTACTTTTTCCACTTATTTAACCTATTTGTGAGACCAGTGATCCAAAACCGTTCAGTTCACTGTCATAGAGAACTCAGATAAACCAGGAAATGCTCTCATTCCAGAAGCTGAAACCATCATCTTCAACTGACAAATAATTTACAAAATGTTTTAATAAATGACTTGAACAACAAGACAGATTAATTGATTAAATGTTTAAATTGATCGACTAATTATTTCAGCTCGCCTGTCAGTTCATGGGCTCGATATATTGAGAGTGAACTATAACACTGCTCTTCACCTGTTCTCCTCTGAGTAGAAGCTCCCTGAGTGTTCCTGCTTGAGGTTTCTGTCACGATAACCGTCTGTTCCCCGTGATTCTTGAGGAGTCCACTGGCCGGCATCTTAAAGAGAAGATAAACAAACCAGCACAGTGCTATTTTATTTGTTTTTAACAAGACATTGGGTGTTTTGCTTAATTCCTAATTACAGTTTTGCTTTCCCGCAGGTTTGTTTTGTGTGACTGTACCTTGTCGTCCATGCTGTCCTCTGTAGTAATCCTGGTTATAATAACCATAGTTCTCTCTGTAGTCCCAGTGGCTGTGTGGGGGATAGTCGTACCCAAGTCTGGCAATAAAATACCTCTAGTTACATCAATGCATTTGTTCACTTTCCTTCCCTGTTAATCCCTCCATTATGAAGAAGGTGATCAAATACAGATCGATAGAACTTAAAATCTAGAGATTAAATGGAAGTTAACAGTTTGTATCAACGGTAGAAAGGACAACATGCACTCCACCTAATGGGTTATGCACTTGATCCGAAGCTTTTGCAACCATGCAGCTTCCAAATCAGCTCATCACACTGTTACGTTCTAAACCTTGGAGTTTGTATTACACTGAGTTGTGCTCACTATGTATAAAAAGAGAAATCAGTGTGAGATCAAAGACCATTAATAACTAGTCTTCATAGAAAGTGCAAATGTACACACCTAGACTGGGGTCTTTGGTGGTCTGCTCGCCCATGTCCGTAGGGATACTGCTGGTAGTTGTAGGGATACTGCTCAGGTCTGGCAGGAGGACTGGTGTAGTGAGCCCTGTAGTGTGCATCAGGATGAGCCCAGTGTCTGTCCCTCTCTCTGGGGTCTGGAGGTGGACAGCTCTGGTCCCACTCCTGCTGGGAGTACCTGCTATAGTCCTCTCTATCTTTAGTCCTGTGGGAGTAGTGATGGCCGGGGTCGGGCCAGGGGTGACCTCTGTGATCCATGATGGGTTTACTCCTGCTGCTGGAACACCTGAGGAGTGAACAGAGGTTATTTTCAAAATAAAATCCACACAAATGAATTTTCATTTGTTTGTTTGGGCACTCACAGCTCAGACGCAGTCAAAGTACAGCTGCAAGTGCCACATCATTTCACTGGGAGCTCACACCATGAGCTGATAACAAGTCAGCGTGATAACAAGAGGATAAAGTTCACTCAAGACTGTGATCCATAACTAGGCGCTGTTACTGCACAGACACCACAGCTCAAAAAAGACTGCAAATTATACGAGTCACAAAAAAGGTTTTGAAAACCATTTAAGATTCTGTATGTGTGCACAGTGCTTCTTCAGGTCCGTTGTGTTTGTAGAGTGTATCCAGCCTGTGTGAGCTCTCTCTCTCTGAACGTAAACACAGGAGCACGCCCTGAGGAGTTTGACAGCTGCAGTCCAACATCAGCAGGAAAAGATGGAATCAGTCTTCAGGATAAATCAATAAGTACACTCATTTCTGACAGCCTTCTTGAAGACGTGGAAATCCGTCTCCTCGGACTGTCAAGGATGAGAAGAAAAAAACCCCAGAAACACATCGAGTGTTGCCACGTTGCCGGTGGGAGGATGAGGAGGGTGACTGTGGCTGGTCTGCGGTCAGTGTTGGTGAAGTCCCAGCGAGCAACGCCTCATGGAAACTGATCCAGAGTCAGTGGTGACAACTCGAGCGCTTCATGCAGTGAAGAACTGCAATGCCCTGAATCTCCACCGGAGGCGTTCACCGCTGTCTGTGGGTTCACCAAACTGCGACGCCCCCTGTCTGCAAACTTTGCCCATTTCAGTTATTTTATTCATTTTCTATTGACGTAATATTATTATCCACTTTATATTTGCCTCCATAATCTTTATCATTTACAATGTTCACATTCTCATTAAGTTGCATTTTATGTCCCTTGTAAATAATGGTCATCACAATGCTATATAAAAAAATGCATTTCTTCAGCTTAATGATAATAATACAATATAATATAATATCACATCATATCACACCATATCATATCATATAATATGTGTTATTTATATAATAATTGTATTATACACGCTAATTATATGTATAATAAAACATGTATTGAACTACTATAAGATGTGTGTTATAGAAATGGTAGCTGAACCTTTTACCACACCCTTCATTGTAATGAATTTTTAGATTTAATGCCAAAATAAGGATTTTGGTTGAGTCAGAGATTTTAACTCTTTCATTAAAAAACGAAATAGATCTTCCGTTAGAAGAGGAGAACAAAGAGGTATATCAAAATGAAGAGTTTGCAATAAATCTTTTCTTTCGAGACTTCATACTGACGTTAGACCTCCTCACTGTCTTTTCACTTTAAACAAGCTAGTATTTCTAAATATCATTTTTCATAGAATTGTCCAAAAACATCTTGGTAAGCTGAAGCATTAGGATTTGAATGGAGACTGGCACATAGGATCCTTAATGACCAGTCACACATTCTGTACATCGAATTTGACCGGTTACCTTCAGTAAGACGTTACAGAGCCTATAAGTGTAAAACCAACCACCTCAAGCTCATATTCATCCCGACTACTCAATAAGGAGATGTGCTGATTTGGTCGTGTATCTAACTCATCATTTTATACTTTGGTTTTGAATTTTCTCTTTTTCATCTTGTTTATCTGTTACACACTTTTAGTGTTTTATCATTTTAAGGGTTGTTAGGGCAGGTGCAATATTCAACTCACTTTTATTCTCCATTTACACCATTTGAAGACATCAGTGAGAAGTGCAGCAAATATGTGACATGTGACATTTAGACTAAAGACCAATGTAAAGGACGCCATTCCGAGTTGAATTTGAATGCCGGGGCATACGGACACTTGGATAACACCACATGAGCAGTGTGGAGGCATGTTATAATATTTCAATTGTAGTTTCTTTAAGCTTGAAGAAGTGGTCACCATTTACTTAAACTGTATTGGATTTGACTGTCATGCTGTTTACCCCTGAAACTCCAAAAGTGTTTTGAATTTGCATTTTTTGGGTGAACTATCCCTTTAAGCCAATCTTGTTGTCCATACACTGTACAATCTGATAGATGCTTTTGGTTTGCGATTCACTAAATATCTCAATATCTTTCAAACCAGTGCAACACTGTTGTTTTGCTGTGACTGCATCACGCACGCAACTTGCACGAGATCAAAAGGAAAAACAAGTGTGCTCACATGTTGCCGTAAATGAGTGACTGGGTGTTCAGTGACAACACAACAGGTACTTTCCATCGCACCCGTTTTCCACTGAATTACTTCATCGTGTTACTATTTAAAAACAGCTGCGGGTGCGAGGTCGCGACGCGGGGTGTCGCTGCAGGCACAAAGACACGGCGGGTGTAAATCTGTGGTATGTCCACGTGACCAACGGGACCGGTTTATGCTAATGAGCAGTGAGGACAGGAGCCGCAGCTCAGGAGTCATCATCAGACTCAGCACACACGCTCCGCAGCTCGCACACACTCGTCCTGGAGATTGTGGGACAGCAACCAGCCGCTCGGATGTGCAATATGACTTTAGAAGAAAGCAGCGGGGACAATTCGTCAGAAAGGTTTGCTTTATTCTTGCCTTTCCCCACGTGCACTTTTTTTATTTAACGGTTTTTGAGACTGTGTGGGGGGGGGGGGGCGCTGAACTCTCTCCACGTTTCATGTCGACTTATTCTCTTGTCAGGTGCTTTTCTGTGTCAAGTTTAGCGTCTTGAGCTTCACTGTATGCTAGTTAGCAGCGTTTAGCAGTTTGAGCTAACGTGCATTGTGTACGAATGATGGACAGACTATTATTGTCTGCTCTGTTCACTACAGCGTGCTGCTCCTGCACTGATGACTCTTATCATGCAGACCCGGGGTCCAGATACAATACCACACACCATAGGTTAAAATCCACACAAACACGTGTATAAACATAGAAATATTAATGTCTAACACAGAGACACATCAATGCCTTTGTAGAGTCTAATGCTAAACTTATTATTTGATGCAACCACGATGATTTCTTTGATAACTTAATCCATGAGACTTGTTAGGACAGTTTGGAAAGTGTGGACCCCTGCAGTCAAAACACTTCAGTGCAATGTTGCATCAGTAGTTGTCATTCACAATATTTAACTTGGGCTTAAAATGTGATATAATATGATGTTAAGTATATGTTTTGCTTGTTGACTTTTCAGTAAATTTGTGGTATATGTGTTTTTCTTCAGGATGGACTCGGTGGCCAAAGCGTTAGAGGAGGTCCTGAGCTCTGCATTGCCTCAGGGTTGCATCACTGTCGGTGTGTACGAGGCAGCAAAGTCACTGAACGCGTAAGTTAAAAATAGTCTCTACTGCTGCAGCACTGACACGTATCATTCAGGGTGAGTGGGGGATTGTTCGTTTTACTAATGTGTCTCGTTGTTTACCACAGGGACCCAGACAACGTGGTGCTGTGTCTGCTGGCCACAGACGACGAGGAGGAGGACGTGGCTCTTCAGATTCATTTCACCTTAATCCAGGCATTCTGCTGCGAGAATGACATCAACATCCTGCGGGTGAGCAACATGAGGCGTCTGGCGGAGATCCTCGGTGGAGTCAAACCTGGAGGGGAGCCCATGGACCTGCACTGTGTTCTAGTTACTGTAAGTTTCGTTACTCACGTCTGTTTACTGTACAACTGCAGCACATTGCTCACTTCCCCTTAGACGGTAAAACAAGTCATTTTACCGGCCTTTGTCAAACATTGCAAAGAACTGTAACTAGTCATGGTTGTGCAATGTGAATGATTTCAGACTGTTTGCATGTTCATAAATCAGCAGGTGGTAACTCCTTTGTCCCTTCTCCTGCAGAATCCCCAGTCGTCACTGTGGAAGAACCCTGCGCTGAGCAAAGTGAACAGATTCTGCAGAGACAGTCGCTGTTTGGATCAATGGGTGCCTGTCATCAACCTGCCCGACCGATGAAACTGCCTGGAATATTAATGTATTGTGTGCATTTTGAGGGGAAAAAAAGTAACTTCACAAGGCCTGTGTTAATGTCTGCGTTGGACACCTTTGGAACGCACCCCAGAGACAGACAGAGACGGGAGGGGCTGGCGAGAGAGAGCGCACGAGGAAGGGCTATGTTCCAGCAAATTTACCAGGTCAGGGTGAACCCATGTGCCAAGGAAGAGTGACTCAGCAGTCTTGGTTCCAGGATTTCCAATGTACGACCGCGCCTTTCTCTGCCGAGATAGAAGCCCTTACAGGAAACTGAATCATGTGAGAGGAGAAGCACACGTGGTGGTGAGCACAAGCACAGGACTGAGGGGAAAAAAGCAGAGACAGAGCGCCTCAGTTGACAAGACTCCCAAGAACCTGACCACACTGGAGAGGACCATTCAGAGCTCTCAGCCTGAGGAAAAATTGACCAAACTCCAAGCATTTCTTTGACAGCACATTTATTTAATACTATTTAAGACTTGCCACTTTGATAATACTAAAGGAAAAGTTTTCAAAGGTTATTATTATTATTATTATTATTATTATTATCAGAAGGGCATTGCAATGTTTAGACTTGTCCACTAACTGATGTTTTTATGTGTTATTAATTTAATGAGTCATATTTATTGTGCATTACTTCATGGAATTTGTCAAGTTGACTGAAATAAACAAAACAAACAACAGTTTCATGGCTGGTTTTGCCTTAATGATTTCCTGTTGCGACAGGTGAGCATTCAGGAAGTCACATGTTGAGGAACTGCACAAGTTCATCAGGACACATGCCTCCCGTGCCCGGAGCCTCTCAGGGACAGAACTCACATGAAACATGTTTTCCCACAGGGTTTGGATATTGCCCCTGGTGTTTTACTCTGCATGTTTCTCACCTGATCTGTTGGACCAACAGCAAGATTGTATGGTAACTTCAGTAGTCTGCCTCCATGATTTTTATTTGAGTCATACTGTTGATTTAAACAAAAATATTTACCTGCTCTGGGCTAAAGCCTGAGATGCCTTGTAATCTACTCCACCCCCGCATGGGAACTCCAGTAAAATGTGACCTTTTGCATATTTTGAATATCTAGTTACATTGAGGGGAGGAGAATTCCCATTGTAGTTGATAGTGAGTGGGATGGTGCCTGTTGTGATGACGCTTACTTCACAGCCCTCTGCATCTACGCAATCACGGTTAAATTTACTGCTGAGGGGATTAAAAATAGCAGGGAGGCATTAAGGGAAAAACCATGTTGACGAACCATTTCAGGCTGCAAAAAGAGAAAACCAGAACCTATTGGTGCTTCCGCAGAATGGGGAGGGACAAAGCCTTTTTTACACAGAGGGTCACAAGACAATGGATGCATGAGTCAGGGCTATTCACGTCTCCATTGCCAGAGCTGAGCAGTACTTTAGCTTCATGGCTAAAAATAGCCCCATGAATAGAGGCGTTCCCTCTGACCACTGACACACTGACAATAGCAACACTTGTAATTAGCAGATCGTGTACGCAGAGAGGCCAGTCTGACGCTGAGATGTCAGTGTGCTGCCAAGGACATGAAGAGGACAGCAGACCTCCCCGGTGGTGCTGCCGGGTAGTGGATAACAGATGGGGAGGGAGAACTGGGCCAAAATGCAGGACTGACTGGAAGACCGGAGAGGAATGTGGGGGTGTGACAGTGGCTGGAGGCTCTGTGGCTGTGTTAAATTGACTTAAGTTAAAGGGTGTCTTTTGCAAAAGTGATGCACAGAGGAAATCGCATGCAGGTCTGCACGCCACTGAACAGATCTCCCTTCAGTCAGTCTACGGCAAGACGCTGGCCACAATTTAAATGGTACTGTACAGTAGCTATAGAGCTGTCTTCCTTTACGCAAGTGACTGATCAGTAGAACAGAAAACATTTTTAGTTCCAGATGAAGATTGTGCTTCGAGATGACACAAAAATATGCCAACGTAAATTTACCCACTAAAAGTAGGTGAGATATTGAAGATACTAGATGACAGGCTTATCTCTGAGCTTACCTGAAACTGACAGGTAACACAATCACCGCGAATGAGGCTGCTACAAAGCCAGTCCTGACAGCCTGACGAGCGAGGATTACACCAATATGGGCCAACATATGGGCTGACCTTGTTTTGGATGTAACATCATACCTGTGAAGACAGAGACAGGAGAGAAAGGGCTGCCCACATGAGCAGAGATTATTGCATAACAGGCTGACCATGGCTTGGGGCTGCTCCGCTGAGGAACTGGAGCGAACCGCAAATGTTTGTGTTCTCCTGACCAAATACTAGATGCGTTTGTTTGAAAGTGACAACCTGTGATTCTGACAAAGCAACAACAGAACTCGTTAATGACTAATTGCCTAAATGAATAGTTATAATGTTGTCAACATCTAAAGAAAGATACTATCATTGATGCAGGCAGAGACAAGACTGATCTGTCTCTGATAAATAGAGTTTACTGTTCAGTGCAGTGTGCCCCCTTTAAAAGGGATGTTAAAATTCTCCACACTTAATTCTCACACTACAAGGGGTTTACATTCATTTCCCACAAACTATAATCACCTTTTTAAAGACAAGGATGAATTAATGTATTTACCAGTAGCAGTACGAGTTTTTTTTTCCCATGTGAACTTTTGAGGGAAGTCAAGCCTCAGGGATTAATCTAATCACAGCAAGTGCAGAATAGTTTCATTTTAAAGCAGCATTGTTTGATCTTGTTGGCCTCTTGGCAGCAGAACAATGTTTACTACTCTAACATTTAATCACCTTATAAAGTTGTTATATCAGAATTGCCTATTCATCATGATCCAGCAGGCACGGAGCAACTTTAGCAATCCTTGGTAACTAACAATTCTTGTTTGATGAGCGCTAGAGCCAACAATGTGTTTTTGAGCCATGTTGAAGATTTTTTAGCCACTTGTAAAATTATGAGAATAAAGTCATCAAATATGTGATATTATATGACAAACAATTCATTTATTAGGGGATAAGAGCAGTAAGGAGAACCTGTGCTCGCTGGAGTTTCTTAGTAGATGAACGCAACTGGTTGACAATTCTCTTTGCGTTTGTCACCATCAGCGACAGTTTCACAGTACAAGTAATCATCTGATATATTAATGATATCAAAATATTTAATAGTGCAGCATCATATAACTGATGCTTAAAGGCGATCATCTCTTTCACACACAGACTGATAAATCCACGAGTCCGACACAGTTTGGACAATACAGTCTCGTCAAATATTCGACCATCTTTTTTAATCATTTGAACGAATAAAGACTATTTTAATGACTTGTTATCCATAGGTTTATTTGCACTTACCACAGACAGGTAAAGGCAGAGTGCGGCATACAGTAAGTAGTTACCATACTCACCATGTGTGAGAAACCAGCAGTTTTTCTGATTTAGATTCACCACAAATCAACCGAATACACAATTAACCATAACAACACATTCATTTTTAATCCAAAAGTTGAATTAATGTTGCAAAACAGAAATTGAGAGTTGAGGTTTGACTGAATCACTGCAATCCTGCAGAAAGTACATTACACAGCTATAAGCAAGCGCATACTGTGATACATGGACATACATGAGTCATTTAGAAGTAGGACATCATACAGGGTAAATGGCCTCTTGTCAAATATACCCTCTTCACCTACAGGGCCTTTATTATTCACAGTATTACACAAAAGCACTTGTGTGACTAAAAGGTAGTCAAAAGGTTGAAGCAGGTTTACTTCATCATTAAGGCCCTTGCTGGCAAAATTGCAATATTAGTTGATTTGCACAAGCACCAACACACAAATGACAGCTGAATACAGCCAGTCAAAGATGCTCATAGTAAAGTCAAAGTAGGATTTGGAGCAGCTTTAAACGTGGAATGTTTCAAACTCAAGAGTATAACAGTCATCTGGTGTTTACAGGTCTGAAAGTGCCTAAAGAGTACAGGAAAGTAATAGTACAGTAATAATCCTCAGTTCTGTGGAGAGAAACAAAGAAACTGCAGGTAACAATAACAGTAATGACAATAATAGTTCTGTGGTAGGAACCAGAAGTCTAATATAACAGAGACAGTGATTAAATGGCACAGATTGGTCTCAAATATTTTTCCTTCAACAACAGTCTGTGATGATCGGACATCATGTTCCGTACCTTGTACTTCGTGTGTCTCATATTAACAGATGTTTGTACTCAGAGTTGTAAATTAACTTCTAAGTTGATTGCATGACAAAATCAATTTAAAAAAAACTGTTTAGACAGATATTTCATTGTTTTGCACTCGATTCAGATGAGTGTTATTCAACTCGTTCTTAAAAAGTGTTTGACACCCAACAGAGCCAAAAAACTGAAAATCGAGTGTTGTCTCTGCGAAAGTTAAATTATGTCTCAACAATCTGAACCAATCTGATTAATTTTCAATTTTAATTTAAATGTCTGGCTGTGACTAGATGGCAAATAATATCACAGGAGCAGTGGCACTGGACTTCTGCTCTTTCTATTTGTCCTCCTGTGTGATGGACAGCACAGTTTACTCTTCCAACCACAGGACACCATTATCTCAGGCACTCATTATCACAAGCACACAAACTACAAAAACCGTTTCCCACAGCGAGCCAGATGAAAGTAAGAGGTGAAAGCTGAAAGCCTAGATCTGATTGGACCAATGATTGAGGGGGCTTGTTTATGCTTGCTGTGATAATTAGAGGGTCAGGGACTCTTCCTCTGTGGAACAGTTTCCTCTAGATCTTATCAGATAACAGCACGGGGAAGTAAAATCACAGCAGAGCCTCCATTCAAACTTGTATTCACCTTTGTTTGAGCTAAAGATCTGATCAGAGGTCACAGCTTCAGATTTACACCTGTTTCTTTGGTGTGACTGCTATCTGACTGAATCCCTTTCTTATCAAACTGCAGCAGACATGTGAAAAATGAAAAGGGATAAGCTGGCCTTAAGGCAAGGAGCGAACAGTATTACGATCAGATCTTTTCCACATAAACATCAAAAAGGACAAGCAGCAGGCATTCAGCTCAGTTCCCCTACAAAACAGTGCAAGGCTTCTTGTCCTTGAAAGGGTTTTCAGAGGCAGGGATGCCCATTAGCAGCGGGTCGTTCTTGGCGTGTTCTCCACAGTAGCGCATTAGGTCTGACGAGGCCTTGGACACCTGCAAAGAAATCAATCCGCACACTGATCACCCTCAACATAAATGCAGCAGAAGTGGACCACTCAGGGTGCACGGCTGTGAATATAAACGCACCTTTATCCTCTCAATGCTGGCCTCTATCCTCAGCTGCTGCACCGTCCGCCTGGCATGAGCTATGCTGCTGGAGCTCTGCATCTTTGACGACATTGCAGTTTGTGAACAGCTGTGCTCAAACCTGTGGAAAGAAAGACAAAATATAGGTTACATACACTGTGTGTGCTAATTAGTGCAGAGAGATGCTGGTATTTGTACAAAGGAAACCAACAGGGGCACAGTGTCATGAATCTACTCAAATGTTTCCTGGCAACATGCTGTTCCTCAGGGATTAAATAAGCAACTTAAAGGTCAGATTGCTGTTAAGAATACTGCAAAGGCTATTGCTGACTTTATACAATGTCAGAAAATCCAGCAAACAAGATAGCTCACCTATAGGTTTATTGTTTTTATTGGTTTTATGTTGTGATTTGTTCAATTATTTATCAAGCGTGTTTCGTTGTGTTTAGAATTCATTGCAAAACATGTGAAATATGTGTTTTGACGAGGTTATGTTATCATATATTTAAAGGAACATATAAAGATATCAATGGGCAACAACATGTAAAGTAGTTAAGATGAGCTGAACATGATGAGATGGCATCCAACCAACTTTGTTTTCCAGTGATCAGCGGACACAATTTGCAAACGGTGATAAAGCTTGAAATAGCGATAAACTTGAGTTGATTCTGGGTCAATACAATGAGCAGCACAACAGTGTTTTCATTCTGTTGGGGTCAGTTACTGATGATGTTGTTACTGCAAAAGCTTGTGAAAAGCCAAACTGCTGTGGGTGTGGATCTTCACTGGGTCGATAATAGCACGTATAGTTAACACTTCTGGGACTTGTGCCAGGACCTTCATCGAAAAATTGCTGCTAATTGCTTCCACCCTTCTGTTATGGTGAAATCTTTTCCATGGTATTCAGAGAACATGAATATTAAAAACTTACAACTACAACAGGATGTGGGGGTGGATCCAGGGGGGCTTAGGTGAAATGCTAATCACAGAGGACTGACACACTCATTACTTAAACAATACTCTGCGTTTATCATTGTCACCATTTTGGTTTAGCGTTATCAATAGCTACTATACTGTCTAGCTCATGCTATTTAGCACTGATCCTAGAACTGTGGTGGCTGATTGAAATGTCATTAATTCAGCAAATAATTCACTCAAAACCAAAGATGTCGACCTCATTGTGGTTCTAAAGGAAAGGTTGGGTGATGAGTAAAGTCATCAGGATTCACCATGTGGGAATGAAATAATGTCTGCAGCATTTTTCCACAAGGCTATCCATCAGATATTTTACATGATAAGGGAAAACTACTGGTTACAACGGATTGACCAGGGACACTATAGCATGAAATAAATGTACTTAGTTGAAAAATTGTCAGCATCTTTAGTTGCAGCACTGACTTTACAACATAAATGATAAACGTAAAGTTACTAAGAGGCTCAAATGTCTAGTGCCTCAGGCTGAGCAACTTCACAGAAACAACAGTTGACTTATCTGGAGATGGCTACATGTGCGTAAATGCCTAACGGACTCCTGTTTCACAATTCCCACTTCCAGGATACAAGGGTTTACTTTTACCGGCTCATTGCGTCACTCCCTGAACTACTTGGCAGAGCTGCAACTTTTTGCCGGTCAGCCTGGCCAACAGCACTGCAGAGTTCAAAGAGGAAGAAGCAAAAATCGGATGCCTGTTCTCTGTTCTGCACAAACATCATTTCTTAGAAGGGGGAAGAGGAGCGGCCTCTAATGCACAAACAGAACATCATGTATTAAGAACAGGATTGTGAAATAAATGAGAATCTCTCTGCGTGCCCAAACATTATTGAGCTCTGATCATTTGTAGCTTTTGTTCCTGGAACAAATGGAGAAAACACACCACAGGGTTGTTCTGTGGGACTGATGAAAATAAACTGACATGTGCTGTGGGAAATGTGCTCTGTGCTCTGGTGCAGGATATTATGGAGGAGGGAGTGAGGGGGGCACGCAGACACGGAAGTTAGATGAAACATGTACAACTGCACAACTGACTACAGACAGGAGACAAGACCACACATCCCTCTAATCCCCCCCTTCCACCCACTCCCTCCTGCTTCCTCCACAGGAAGCAGTGTCGGCAGCTACCCTCTACAGTATAAATGATTAAATATGGGGTGGAGGCTTTAAAAATAGAAGCTACACACACAGGCCAGTAGCCAAGGTAACAGAAAAAGTAGAACAAAGGCTGACTGCATGATGTTATATTTTTACATACTAAAAACCCAAGAAATAAAAACTGTTTCTAAAAAATAAACCATCTGCTTTCATATTTTTGTGTTTTTTTTGACTCACTGTTCCCAGGAACTCAGCACTTCATGTATTGGCTCTTATTATCAACACAGCTGTAATTTTCAAGCCCTCGGTTGCAGTGGCCAGTCATGAGTGGACACAGGCTAAGGACGAGCTGCGTCACAGGAGGGCTGGTGCTCACCCCCCGACACAGGCAGGGATACTCTGTGACGCCAGTGGCTATACTGTGGAGCTCTTTCTGACTAGAGGGAGGCACAAGAGGCCTAATTGGTTGTAAAAGACATAAAGAAAGGTTAAGTGTTTCTCTGTCTCACTGCTCTTTTGTTATGTCCCTGACTGTCGTGTCATGAAAGTGGCCCTAATGGAGATCTTACAGCACAGTCATTCTCCAACTTGTTTGCTTATCTGACAGTGACATTGAATTGAGGCCACATCAAAATATATAATCGATGCAATGCGAACAAAAGCTTGTGCATCCATCTATATACTCGTCCTGCTGCAGCTGGATGAGGAAAGCTGCAGCACATCTGCTCAGCATGTTGGAGCAAAGGCTTTCACGCATGTAAAGATTATTCACATTGACGTCTGTAATGAACACAGTTGTGCACGCACAACTTGAACTAGGACCAATAACAGTGACAGATAAGGAAAAGAGTGGATCCATAGAGACTGAGTTGGTGTGGCATGTTCTACCAGTGGAGACCACATGTGGCATAATATCATCTGCAGCAGTCTTCAGGGGTGAACGAGTTCAGAGCGCACACTTGAATCAGGAGTGGTTCTCCTTTGCGTGGGCACACACAGACTCTGCTGTGCAGCTCACCTCAAATGTGCTGACTTTCAAATAATCCTCTCCCTCTCTCTGTGGGCAGCATGGTGGGCAGCTTCACAGTAATCCTGCTGGGTCTGAGGGATTCTAACAGTCTTATAGGGTACACTGAGATTGAATGCACCTCATCTATGGGACTTTTTGATTGGATTGTTGTTTTTATACATTAGATTCTAGACTATATTATGTAAATCTTTTCATTTTAATCATAACTATAGAATTGTCTTGTGCACTTTAATAACTATTTGTAAATCAAAGTTATAGTTCAACATTTGGACAGGAACCACTCTTGTGTGTAGCCCAGCCCATAGATTGTATATAAACATGGACGATGCATCTCCACTTCCTCCCACTATCCAGAAATAGAGCCAAAATATCCCAGACATGAATGCTGCCATCTTGTGCCAATAATTGAATTTGGAGCCAGAGACTGCACAGTAACAATCGGGGGATAGAGTCATTGTATTGTGGTTCCACCGATAAATGCACTTGACCGTTCGTGACTCGGTTACAGCTGTCAGTCTTCATGTTTCACCTCATATTTATGACATCAGAAATTGAATTTAAACCAAATAACTCTAAAAACAAAATGAGCCCATGAACATACATCAGAGGGATAAGAACTACTTACAATAACAGATAGCACATTTTCCAAAAATTCATTTGGTGTATACTTTGACTTGTTATTCCTGTCTGTGACTCATCCACTAACACAGAGGAAGTGTTTTAATTTATTTTTTCATTTTTACTGCAGCAAGGCACCAGGTGGCTTTCGAGACACTCCGGCTTCACTTTTGGGGGGCCGACATGTAGTCCATCTTTACAACAAGCTGGTTTTTAGCCTTTGCTAAATCTAAATCTACAGCCTGATTAGCTTAGGCTGAGACACCAAGCTTTGCTTTGTTCAAAGGCTGAAAAAATGTGTCTTCCTGCAGCTCTAAAGATCATAAGTGAACACATCAAATCTCATTTGTTAAACTCATCCCAAAACCCAAACAGTAAAAAACTTAAGTTGTGGTTTTACATGGATTACGAGCCATCCTGTCCAGAAAACCAACAGGCTTATTTCCTACATGTTGATTTATTGCTTTTTAATTAAATGACAATCACACCTACAATTTCTGCAATGATCCTTAACAATGAGGCAAATATCTATTAGCCTACACACTTACGCAAAATACAAACACAACCAGATATTTCAAGCCTGACGCGGAAAGCCTGGGCAGAAAAAAAAAATAGAATTCATTCCAAGGGACTTTGTCACTGTCGGGTGTGTAATTCCTTTGTATGTGGACTGAACCTTTAAAATCCTTCTAGCCCTAAGAATGGCAGTGATGCCTTCAGCTGTGGTGTGTCTGTCTGCCTCCAGCATATGTACTTAATGTGTGGTGAACGTCAACATGTGGCACACTGAGAGCATTGATAAAAAAATATATTTGAAGTCTTACAGCAGAGAGATTTCTTTGATGTGGCTGCAGGGCTTTACACAGGTGGGCTCCCACAGTGCCAGCAGAGGGGTCCTGCAGAGTTTATGACAGCACGCTCTGGCCTGGGGTTTGAAACTCTACTCACTGCTCAGATGTGCTTCCCCAACAAATACACCAACAACTCACGTACATTCAAATCAACAGCATACAGGACAACATGAAAATTGGTGTATTTCAGAGTAGTAGATCTAGTTTGCGTGCATGATCAATGCTGCATGCATGGTCACACAAAATAATCTCAGTGAAGTTGATGGACTGAGCTGTGTTCCTTTATTCTGCATTACAACACACAAAACAGCCTGAGCAACTCATTACTGCTACTGTGGCTATTTGGAGTCTTTAATCTATAAAAATATTTTTTTAAATTACTGTCCAAAGATGGAAATGTCAAGTCTGTTTTAAAACGGTGCACACAGTTTGCATGTTCTCTCCTTGTCGGCTGGGTTTTTTCTCCTGCTTCCTCCCACGTGCCAAAGACATGGAGGTAAGGTTAATCTGGGACTTTACATGACCCAGTGTGA